CTCAGTTTTCTCAGATGTAAATGTGAGAGGTACATTAAAATTATTTCTTAGGGCCAGATGAGCCTGAAAATTCTTGATGTAATATAAAATAGTGTGTTCTTCCTCGGAGAATGTATAAGGCATCAAGGAATAAGAAGGATGGTCTGCAAATTCTAAAAGGCTGACCACCAAATTACCCCTAAAACACAGGGGTCCTCACAGTGGGATCCTTGAGAGCAAAAAAAACCACTGTTTGAGCCAGCGAGCCAAAAGCACAAGTTCATTCATAAAGCAGCCCCTGTGAACTTGAGCATCCGTTGTGGGCAAAGGAGCTCCTTCCCCACCCTGGTGGCCCTTCTCCTAGAGCTAGCGCAGTGGCCTGCCATCAGGAAAAACAACCTAGGTAGTCCTGACTTTGCTTCAGGCTTGTTACATTATCTCCTTTAAACCTTGGCAAGATCCTGCAAGGTTGGTATGTATTACCCCCATGATATAAAGAAGTCAACCGAGGCTCCGATAGGTTAAGTACAGGTGTCTTACAAGGAACAGGATTCAAACTCAGGCCCCTCGGGCTCTAAGGCCTGCACTCTTTCCCCCGTGTTTGCCACGTAGGGTTCCTCACACCTCTCTCTCAGGAGACAGATGTAAATCCCAGAGTTCCTCAGACAGATGACTCCTGCCTCCACCAGTAGTCGCTTCGGTGACTTTAAAGGAACCTCCCTTTAGACTTGACCTTACAAGACCAGCTCTAGTATCTGATAGCTATCCATCCCAGGGAGACCAGCCATAACTCAGGTGCTCAGCAGCTTCCTTTGGCATGAAGAACTCCAGTATGTAAGCTCCAGGCAGACTGGCAAGTTTGGGGTACACAGTGGTCTTAGAACCTGGTGTTTCCAACTTGAATGATTAGTCTGACATCCAGTTCCAACCCAGTTTACCCAGATCAGCTGCTAAGCCCTGGCTGTTCCAGGTAGAGTCCAGGGACTGGCAGCATCATGATATCATCTGGGGGCCTGTTAGAGACGAGGACTGTCGGGCCCCACTCCAGACCCTCTGAATCAGAGTGCATGTTAACATTCTGCTCCCTGTGACTGGGACGCACATTAATGTTTTAAAAGCACTGCTCTAGAATTACCTAGGAGGTTTTTTTAAAGTGTGAATTTGCAAGGACTAGAGTCCAGAATTCTAGAGAAAGGGGTGGAGGAGTAGAGGGAGGCCTCCAAAATGTCTATTTAAAAAAAAAAATTAGTTTTCTTTTGGTCCCACATCCTAAGAGAAATCAAACCCCTTTCTGGCTAGAATCAAAGAACAACTTTTATTTTATTTATTTATTTATTTATTTTTTGTCAATGGCTTCTCCTATAACTAGTAGACACTGCCTCCTCCCTAGGGGTAATGCCAGACTCTTCACAAAGGCTCTTAGACTGAGCGCAATAAATGAATGTAGCAATGCTGCTGAAACCAGAGCTTTCTCTTCCTGGTTGTTCCCCATTCTCCCTGTTCCCAATCATCAAGGAGGTTTAGCCTATCATCCCCATATCAATAGCAGGACTCTTGTGTTTTATTTTCTCCTGATCCACTGCCTCAATCTGGTACAAGTGAAGGAAGGAAGGGAGGGAGGGAGAGAGGGAAGGAGGGAACAAAAGAAATTAACATGTTAAAAATCTGTAAGTCAGGCCCATCCCATCCTCCAAAGCAGTTTACATATATTTCCCAATTAATACACATAAAAATATTTAAGATTGATATTTTTGCTCCAGTTTTCAGAAATGGACACTTTGTAGGTGGACCTCAGGGGCAGAGCACATGCTTAGCATGCTCAAGGTCTGGATTTAATTCTAGCACAGAGGGTAGAGAGGTGAACAGTGGAGACAAAAGTTTAAGTAGGTTAAAGTTTCTCCCAAAGCCAGGATTCTGAACAGATATAATACTTAAGCCCTGACACAATCCTCCTACTATCCAACTTGCCTGCATGGCTAAAATATTTATTGTGAGATAATTCACATACCACAAAATTCAACTCAGGGGTTTTTAGTATATTCACAAGGTTATAATATCATAATCACTATTTCCAGAAACATTTTCTTTACCCCTAAAATAAACCCCAAACCAATTAGCAGTCATTTTCCTTTCACCCTTTCCCCTAGTACCTGGAAACCACTTTCTATCTCCATGAATTTGCATAATCTGGATATTTTGTGTAAACGAAATCACACAATATGTGGTCTTTTGTGTCTGGCTTCTTTCACTCAGCATAATCTTTTTAAGGTTTATCCATGTTGTAGCATGTATCAGTATTTCATTCCTTTCCCATAGCTGTATAGTAGTCCATTGCATAGACATACCACATTTTGTTTCTCCATTCACAAGTAGATGGATAAAGGATTGTTTCCACTTTTTGGCTATTTTGAATAATGTTTCTATAAACATTCATGCAGAAGTTTTTGCATGGACATATGCTTTTATTTGGGGGAGGCATATACCTAGCAGTGGAGTCCTTTGACTGTATAGTATGAACTCCATGTCTAATTTTCTGAAGAAATTTCAAATTGTTTTCTAAAATAATTGCATCATTTTATATTCCCCACCAGCAATGCATGAGGCTTTCAGTGTCTCCATATCTTTGCCAACACTTGTTATTCTGTGTTATTTTGATTATAGTCTGTAAAGTAGTATCTCATTGTATGGTATCGTGTGTGTGTGTGTGTGTGTGTGTGTACACCCACACTGGGATTGAACCTAGGGCCTTGTGAATACTAGGCAAGTGCTCTACAACAGTCCTTTTTTTTTTTTTTTTGAGATAGTCTCACTAAGTTGCCAGAGCTCCCCTTGAACTTTAAATCTTACCTCGGTCTCCCAAGCAGCTAGAATTCTAGGATCACCACCCCACCCAGCTTGAGCATTTGTATTTCTTTTTGGAGAAAGTGTTCAAATCCTTTGCCATTTAATTAGATTATATGTCTTCTTCTGTTGAGTTACAAATGTTCTTTATATATTCTGGATAGTAGGCCCTTACAGATCCATGATTTGCAAATATCATCTCCCATTTTTTAAGTTCTCTTTTTCACTCATAGTACCCTTTGAAGTACAAAACCTTTTAGTTTTGATAAAGTCAAATTTACCTATTTTATTTTCTTTGCTTATTTTTGCTTTAGGCATCATACCTAATAAACCACTGCCTAAACTAAGGTCATGAAAATTTACATCTACAATTTTTTCTAAGAATTTCATAGTTTCACATTTAGTTCCCTGATTCATCTGGAATTAATTTTTAACAGCATAAGGCAGGGGTCCAGCTTCATTCTTTTGCATGTGGAAGTCCAGTTGTCCCAAGACCATCTTTGCTAAGTGCTTCTCTGTGTTTATTTTAGGGCATGCCTTAGACCAGGTAGGCACCTGGTCAGGTGGACAGTTTACAACTCTGCTTTAACCTTCACCTCCTGCCTGTCAAAGCTTCAAGTTCAGCCAAATGGGAGAGACATTTCTTGGGTATTTCCTGGGCATGTTCGTAGCCCCACACAAGCACATGGCTTTCAGGATTCCCAAGAATTTGTTTGAACTTTTTAAAGCCCACTGTGGACTTCTCATCCTCTAGTCTTTTCTTTTGATTTTTGCTCAGTCTCTTGTTCGTCCCAATGGAATCATTGCCTCAGGAAGTGGCAAATGTTTAAAAATTCCTGCTGATTTTTTTCATGCTTTTATTAGCATATTATATTTATGCATACTATTTGGGTTCATTTTGACATAATCATATTGATTTTTTTTTTACAAAAATCATAGTGATAAGACTGTTCACACAGAGAAAGTTCTGAGTCAGGTGAAATAAAGACAAACTCAGAATTCAACTTTATAAAGCAACTTCCAAATACTGATACATAGTGGCAGTTCTCTATGATGAGAGATTTTTGGAAAGGTCCAAGCCCATGCTGTCCCCTTCCCTTGGCTGCTATTTTGCTGATCTTCACAGTTACCATAGGTATAAGGTTGTTTGCTTACAAGGCCCCCATGGAGATGGGGCCAGGGAGTAGAATGAGGCAGGTTAAAATGCCTCAAGGCTTACTGTTCTTGGTGACATCCAACCACTTTTTTTAAATGAATATTTGTAGATTGTTGCAGGACTTTGTTTAATTTCCAGAGTTCTAAAAAAGTTGATCTTGGCCAGTGCTCTTATGGTTTTATGGAGGAATGGCTTTATCAGAGGTCCTCACTCTATTACTTTAAGTTCTTTTCTCAAAGGAACACTTTATAAATATTACCTTGATTCAATCCTACATTCTGGGGGTATTTTTGTTTTGTTTTGTTTTGTTTGTACTCACAAAGTACCCTATTTCTTTCCTCTTTTCTCCTTCAGTGAGTAAATTATAAAATTCAGAGGGGAGATGTGAAAAAAAATCCTATTTCCTGATTTTTTTTTTCTTTTTAATAGTTTCCTTGTATTATGGCACTATGGACCAAAGTGTCAGGAACAAGGTGGACCTAAGCTGTTTCCTTCCAAAGAAATAAAGAAAAATCTATATTCAGTCTTTCTGGCTCTGTACCAGTCATGAAATGAACTCAAGATTGGAGACATTTCAATTAAGGAGGATTGGAAAAGGATGTGTAATAATTCAACAAAAGAGGGCTCCTGCACCCAGATTTCTTGCAGGAGAAAGAACAGAGCTTTTAAACAGACCAAGTATGTGGTAATTACTTGTGTGAATTTCCCTCCGTTGGTGTTGAACACTTCTCAACTGCTTTCCCCAAATAGCAGATGCTGAGATGAGTGAGAGCAAAATGAAACTCTAAGTTGAACATTTCCCTTCTTGAGCAAAACTGGAGTAAGTAGGTAAAGGATCATTAGGGACAGGTGACTAGCAACTGGTGATTCATCATTGCTAGTGATGTCTTGAACCAAATTCCAGAAGGCAGTGTGCTTCCAGGAGGGGTGGGACAAAGATTTGCATGTCTGACCTCATGCAGAAGCTCAGCCCCAGAGCATATAAACAGGGGAGCGGTCTTTGTCAGCCTCACCAGTGCCAGGCTCAGCCACTTCCAAACACAGCAAGGCCATGGCAGTCCCCCGATCCATGTTGCTACAACTGGGGCTGTCTCTGTGCTGTGCACTGTACTTTTCTTCTGCCAGCCCTACACATTACAAAGACAACTGCATGGTCTTTGACACATTCGTCACCACCAACAACTCCAACATCACAGTCACCCCAGACGTCTTTGAGAACAACACAAACTACACAGGTGAGTAAAAGCCATTCTTTCTGCTGTCCCTTGTTCTCTGAGGGGTATGAGTCACAGGTTCAGAGCACACCCCTCCTTCCCTGCTTTCAGTTACGAAAAACATATGCTTTTAAATTGGTTGGGAAGTGAGGGAAGAAAGAGAAAGAACAAAACTATGTGAGAAAGTGGACCAAGGGGACTATTTCTGCAGGTTCCCTGGACCACAGAGGCATGGAAGTCCAAGGCCCAGATTAACTAAGCCCAGCAAAAGCACACCTGGCACAAATTCTCTGACAAATAAAATGGGCATTTTTATCATTTTAAGGGACATAACTGCGTTGCGGTATATAGTCTTTTTTTACATCCATTTGACAAATCAGTGACGCAGTGATGATCATACAATTCCAGGAGGCCTCATTTGCACTTAACCTAATGGGCAAAAAATCTTACCAACTAGACAGATGGGGAAAACATCACCATCCCACTTTATATGTGAGAAACTCGGAGCTGAAAGAGGTTAAATGCTGTGCTCAGGGTCTCACTGCTAGCCGGTGGCAGAACCAGCTCTTGATTCTTGGTCTTTCTATTCTTAATCCAATGTTTTCCTTAGAAGTGTCTAGAAAGTATTTTATAAATCCCCTTTGGGGAATCAGTCAAACTCAGAAGTCAAGGAACATGCTCTCTGTCCTGGATTGAACCTAGTAACCCCAGTACCACACACACACAAAAAAAAGAATGTGGGTTCTAATTAGTTTCATGAGGCAGCAACAATGTTTGACATGATGCTTTATATGTAAGAATGTATTTAGTCCACAGACTGAGGCACAAATGCTAAGTGACTTCCTCAGGCCACAGGGCACCTGGAACTGTGGAGCTGGGATATGAACCAGAGACCTGACCCTGACTGCACATCTCTTAATTACAGAAATGAGAGCCAACACTCTTTACTATGTGCTGGGTACTATCTAAGGGATATTATTGTCCCATGAGAATGGAGGCACAGAGAAGTTCAAAATTTCCCTAAGGTCGCTAGAACGTAACAGAGCTAATATTTGATCCTAAATAACAAGATCTGTCTAGCTTCAGATCCAGTCTTCTTATCCCCTGTGCTATCCCGCCTCTCTTAAAAGTCTAACCACATCGTGCAGAGGACTCCAGGGTGACAGCTGCACTCACAGTCTCCAGATTCTTGACCTCAGCAGGTGAACAACCATGGCATGCCTTCACACACTCAGCCTAGCTTATCTGTTCTTTCTACTCTTTCCTGGGGACTGCCACTAAGTGCTTGAGTTGTGATGGGGCTAACTAGGTCCCACTCCCTCAGGCAGTGGATCTCATTCTAGCATGGCAGGGAGGATAGTATAATATAATGAGTACCAAGTAAGTATGTGCATGAATCAAGGATTCATAGGCACTGTGGCAAGAAGGCCAGCAGGGCCCTGATGTCATATGCCGTCCCATGGGGTGAAGGATTTTTGTTAGTGAAGTGGGAAAATGAGAAGCTTATCATGTGAAGACCCTGTGGAGACATGGCAGATTTCTGAAAGGAGGGCAACAGGAAGACAAGGTGATCCACTGGGGGAAAAGGCAATCACAGTGTTTACAGAGGCACCGGCAGGAGCCAGGAAAAGGGAAGGGGGAAAAGAATGAGGGTTCTTTGAATGTTTTCCCATCTATGCACATTATCAGATTCCATCTCAGAAGGGACATGTGAGGTCTCTGTGGTAATCTAACTCGTGATGGGAATACTTTTAAGTTGAAGATCAAAATCCTCTACCCACAGGGATAAGAAGAGCCAGATTCCACACCAACAACTACCCAGCAGGCTCCGTGGCTGCCTTTGTAGATCATCACTGCCAGGACTCAGGGCTTCTAGGGACTTTCAGTAAATGCCGACCCAAGCCAATTGCTTTCCTTATTTTGGTTTCAGAATTCTTTTATGTTTGAGCATTGTGTCGACATTAGTAAGACAAGTATAAATGACTTGGCAGATACCAAGAGACAGTCACAGCTCAGGCAATATCTTAGAACAGGTTCCCTGGGTCTGTTTTGATTTTAGGAGAGAAAAACCCTTAATGCAGTGGCATTTACTCTAAGCCTGTGCTGGGTCAGCATCTGCCTCTATGTTTTTTTTTTCCTCTTTGGGCAAGAGGGATATGATTTGCTGGCCTTTCTTTCTTAACTTGCAGTTTAAAGTACCACATCAGATGGACAACTTCTAAAATCAATCAGCAAGCAGTTATTTTTTTGCCCTCCAGGTGCCCAGAACTGGGATGGCCAGATACTGACACAGATGAAACCTCAAAGTATAATTTAGTTCTCAACTTTACAGTAAAAGATGTAAATGTTTCAGGTGTGAGAGGAAAAGTGGGCTAAATTGGTCCAGAGAAGGGACATGGGCAGGATGTTGGAGTGGAAGAGGGGAAGGGAAGAAGGGAAGGATTCCAGACAGCAGCCAGACATGAATGAAGGCCAGAGCCAGGGATGGGCCCGGAGTGGGCTAGGTGCATTTGCAGAACGGGGAGAAATTATTCCTAGAGCAGAATACAAAGAGCAGAATGAAGCTTGGTTTTAGGGTCCTGAAAACCATGTGCTGGGTATTATTATTGACCAGACAGAAGCAGAAATATTTTTTAAAAAAGCAGGAATTTTTCAATGCTTTAGAAGGAGGAACACTTGGACAGGTATGTGTCCTGGTGCACAGGTTGTGGGAGAAAGTCTGGTCTGGCCACAGTGTTGTAAGGCAGCCTGAGGGAGAAAAGCTTGAGGCCAGAAATCCAGGGATACAGGTGCCTAGGAAGGGAGAAAAGAGGGTTTAATCCAGAGTGAAAGGGGGAAAGTAGAAAGAACAGGCAAGAACACATTCTTAGAGAACCGACAGAGTTAATGACTATCTGAATGATATCATCATGCGTCACCTTCCGCCATGATGTAGGACAAATGTTAGGGCTCCCTGAGCAAGTCGGGGCTGGTGGAATTGGATCAGCTGATTTTGATTGGCAAAGCAAACAACTAGCCAAGAGAAATGTAGTGTGCTAAAAATAATCACATCTGCAATTTATTTAGCATCCACAATGTGTTAGATTTTAACATTCTTTTCTTTAATCTTTCCAGGAACATCTCTAGATAGGTATCATGATCCCAGATAATGAGGGGTAATGTCCTTATCCCCAAACCCAGAACAGGTGTAAAGTGGGCATTCAATAAATGGGTGTAGTGTGGATGAACACTAAGAAACAAAGGCTCAAAGGTGACACAGCCTGCTGCTGAGTTTTAGAGCTAGAATTCAGTTCAGGACTGTTTGAGCTACATGATCCACTTTCTCTATTCTGTGATGAAGTCTTTGAAGGCATTCAGGTGATGAGAGATCCCTGTAGACAACATCAGCCTAATACTGAGAATTCACTCATGAGCCATCTTCTAAGGGAGGAAATGGAGAGATTGAAATATTCTCTTCAAATTTTCTCCCCCAATACATATAAGAATGCTGAAATTAACAAGTATCAGCAAGGTCCCTGTAAGTAAATGCCAGGCTGGGTCACAAGGGAAGACTCATCTGAGCAGAGAATAAGCCTAAGGAGTTATTTGACAGGTATTTAGTTTAGGTCTCAGAGCCCCCCCCAACCTCACCCCCTTCCCATACCTTCAACATCAGAGCCCAAGAGCATTAGCACTCCTGGGATGTACTTTGCTTTTACTTAGCAACAGTATTATATTCCTGGAGCACATCTCAAGAGCCCACCTGACACTTTCACACCCATTAACCATCCTCACACTCCCCTGGAGGAGGCCAAGCCAGCCCAGCTCAGAAAGGTTTGGAAATTTATTCCTAGGATCCCACCCCTCTGTAGCAAACCAAGGCTAGAGGACAGGTCTTTCAATCACCTTTCACTGTAGAAAATTTGGAAACACACCGAAAAAAAAAAAAAAGCACTAAGAAAATTAAAATCATCTAATCACTACCAAGAGGTCACCACAATTAACATCTCAATGTATTTCCTTCCAGACATTCTTCAACTTTTTCAAAAATAGTACCATGCTTTATGTACCCATTCTTTTTTTTAATTGTTTTTATTCTACTTATGTACTTATTTATTCTTATGTGGTGTTGAGAATCGAACCCAGTGCCTCACACATTCTAGGCAAGCGCTCTACCACTGAGCCACAACCCAGTCCATCTATGTACCCAAGTGTCTTTCCTCACACTTATTTTGATTTTGTGCCCCATGCCCTGGCCCACACTGCAGGTGTCTGATGGCTTTCTCACTCTTTTCTCCTAGTATGGGTTCCTGTGAACGACAATGACAGCGCTGTGGTCCTGCAGGCCTTTGACAAGAACAGCCACTCAGTGGGCTTCTGGCAAGACGCAGATGAGGACTGCAACCGCAGCGCCCTGTATCACGTGACCAGCTTCAAGCACCCACTCCTCAAGGCAAACTGGATAGTCTCTGGTTCTGAAGACTTAACTGAAGTTGAGCTGCAGTAAGTACTTGTCTCACTTTGCTTTGGGCTTTTAGACTTTTATTTGGGTCTTTGCAGTTTTACATTGACCCAGAGGATTAAAGCACAATCTGGATGCAACGCAGAAAAACCAGAAGTGGTGCTTCTTTTCTGCTTACCGTTCTCTGCCATGCCTTTCACCTGTGCATATGCATACAGGCATGCACGCGCATGCATGTGCATACATACACACACACACACACACGCACACACACGCCACCACCACCACCACCACCACCACCACACCAGTTATGTTCCACATAAACAGAGAAAACTGGGCACCATTTTTCTTTCAGATTCTCTATATGCAAACTAGAGAATCACTATTTAAAACACAGATTCATTTTGGAAACGGCTTATTAACAGGAAGGTGGTGATTGTGTAATAGAACAGGTTTCCCACTGTCACAGAAAATGAATGCCATCAGATTCTGAGGTGAGGCTACTTAAAGCTAGCATGACATTTGAACAACAAACCTTCCTCCCAGCTCTGGATTTGATATGAGCTTTACCTTAGGAACCAAGTGCTGGGATGTGTTTGTGTTCTCAGGCTGTCATTTTGTACTGAAAGGGCAGGCCTGACTACCAGGCTATGTCCACTGTGAACAGCCCAGTTTCTGGTAGCTGGTGACCCTGATGGTGAGTCTGTTGGGCTGTTTTGCTCTCTTCAGTCATGCTCTGGCCTGGTCTGACTTAATTGGTTTCGGAGGAGGGACTACAATGCCCACAGGGTGACATACAGGAGCAGAACCCAAGGGAACTGCTACTGTTCAGCCTCACAATGACAGCAGTTGCTTAGAAGCCAGCCAAGCCTAATTAGAATAAGAACTTTCCTCCCATCTCACCTCATTAAAGCCTCCACACCCCATGCAACAACAGAAAAAGGACCAAAATGACAATCTGCAAGAGAAATAGCACAATCCCACTGACAGCCTCGTCTCAGACCCCTCTAACTCACACACCCACTAGAACACGCCAGCCTCTGCTCATTCACAATGTACACGCTACTCTCATGGCCTTGATGGGCAAGACTGACTCTAAGGGAGGGAAAGACAGGACATAAGTGACTCCACTGTGGTGGGCACTGAGCTGAGTAGGGCAGAAAGGGAATGTGAGGAGGTCCCAGCCTGTGGGAGTTCACTGTGAGGTCAGAGAGACAAAGTCCAGACACCTCAGCTTCCCCTGTACTTCTCCCCTGATGGAGATCTGTCTGGGTTAGGAACAGGGAGAAATGACTTCATAGAAAAAGTTACTATTGAGCCTATAGACAGGTACAGCCAGGAGACATGTCACCAGGTGTTATAGACAGAGCAACTGTCTTGAACAAAGACGAGAGACGTGTACTAGCCTGTGAGGAATTCAGCCTGGTGAAGCTGGTGGGGATGGGGAATGGGAAAGGCTGTCTGGAAGTAAGACCTTGAAGGATACTAGTCAAGACAACATAGAGCAGACCAATATTGAATGATCTGCTGATTGTGTCATGGAGAAAGTCAGCACAAAAGAGGTGAAGAGGGTGGGGTGCCCAGGAAAGGCAGAGATGTGAGCTGAACTTGTGTATCCTGCAGCTGAGATCCTCACCATCTGTCTCACTAATTTTCCCTCCACAGAGTCTTCACTGTCAATCTCAACCGGACGGCTACACTTTCTTCTCTGAAACTAGGAGGAAAAGGTGAGTTCCTCTGAGGCCCGTTTGCATTTTTAGCAGTATACTCAACTGTCCAGGAAAATTACTTTGGGGGGGGGGGAGCTAGGAAAAAAAGGCACTGCTTATTATGTATTACCCAGATATCAGTTGAGTATCCCAGTACCTAGGAACCTCTATAAGATTTGCTCAAACTCTTATCTCATGCCCTTTGGAAAATAAAGCCCTCACCAAGATCTCTATAAATTCCTAAAGGCCTTATAGTCTCCTAGTTACTGTGACTCCAAACTCCTATTTCCATAGGATCTGTTTTTATCCATTATTACATAGACATCTATATGAAAATCAGCGTCCTTTTCCATTTTCACAGAGAATCTCCTCCCACACAGAGCCTTCATTGGGTAGAGTAAACAATTGGCCAAAGAATGTCAAATGGGGGTGAGGATGGGAGTGGAGAGTTATACCAAAAAAAGTTGATATTATAGCAATATTGATAATTTTTCTGGATGCAGTGGTACATTCTATAATTCCAGTAACTCAGGAGGCTGAGGCCAGAGGATCTACATTTAGAAGGCAGACAGCAATTTGGGGAGACCCTTATCAATTTAGCAAGACTCAACCTTACTCCTTCCGGAGATTCCTCACCTATCTTCTCCCTTCTCTGTCCCCTTCCTTTTCTCTTGCCTCCTTGTACTTTTAACTCCCAGTAGGGAGTTAAACTCAAGAAAGGAAGTTCAGAAAACATGCAACTTGCCTAAGATGACACAGAAAATCTAGAGCAAAATAAGATCTTCCATTCTACATTTTATACTGTTTTTCACTTTTCTCACATTAAAACTAAAAAAAGATAATCTTGTCCCATGAAATGTTTAAACATAAGATTCACCCAAGAATGAGAAACATTAGTCTTTCTCAGCGTCCAGATAACAGGACTTCCTCAGGAGCCCAGAGCACTGAAAGACATCCAGCATGCTGCCTATTTTCCTGCCAGTCATGCATTGCAAAATGTGCTCAAAGGGAATAATTATTTCCAACAACAAATTTTAAAGTGATTATGCCTAATGAAACTATTATATGAAAGTCTTCACTGTTTCCTTGGTGGCTTTCCCTCTATGAGAGAACTGGGATGTTATTTTCTTCCTCGAGGACATTTTTGAGATGAATACTTATGTAAATGCTAAGAAGGGGAGGGGAAGTTCGTTTCTAATTAGGCCCCCCTAGCTTTATGTTAATAAAAATCCAGTTTAAAAAAAAAAAAAAAGAAAAAGAAAGTGGGTATGCTCCAACTCTTTGGCTCCACAAAATGCCAGAGAATATTTGTCCTAGGGAAATGTTAAATGAGATAAGTCAATGCCACCAAACTGGAAAGCACACCCCACGCCGGTGGAAGACTGCCTTGGTCTGGGTGAATTATTGGACATTGCCCTTCTTCCCCATCCTGTAGTTCCCTCTGTGGTCCACTCAAACCCTACTACTGCCAAGTTCTAATTTTTCTAGGATCAGACAAGCCCCCAGGACTACAATTCTGGCTTTCTCTGCAAGACAACTTCAGAGAACCAATGCCTGGTCATGTCCCTGCATGTGAAAATGACCAGAGTTTCACAAACCAGAGCCAGGGATTTCCATTAGTTTTAAAGCAGTTAAAGGTCTAAATGATATCAACTTCTCTCAAGTTCTTGACATTAGCAAGAAGAATAAAGGTCTGCCACTCTGGATCATATTTGCCCTGATTAATCTAATATTAAAGACATAAAGATATCTGAGGGCAGACTACCTGCCCCAACAATAAATTCAGCAGTCATATTTATTCAGTAGGTCTCCCCCTCACTTTGCAGGGCTGTGCACACCTCAGGGTGGAGGCTTATTTTTGTACTTAACACTCTACCCCCAGCTGTCCCCTCCTCTGCACATATCTGGCACTGGAGAGTGTTGACTGCATTTTACTCATGAACTCTGGTGCCGGAATTCTGTCAGGTGAGCTTTTTTTTTCTGGTGCCCACCCACCATGCAGCAGAGGTTCTGAGATCATCAGTTGTTTTTTTGTTTGTTTGTTTGTTTGTTTGTTTATTTTTTTCCAGTGACAGCCACACCCTGGACCTCCAACCACATGAACAGCCTGACCACAATCCCAACCATAACCAAGACCATAGCCAAGACCACAACCAATACCACCATCAAGACCACCACCATGACTACAAACGTGACTACAACCATGACTACATCCAGGACCACATCCAGGACCACAACCCTAGCCACAACGAAAAGCTTGGCCGTCAGAGCACTCAGCAGTCCCATTGCAGGTGCCATCCACATCCTGCTTGTTTTTCTCACCAGCAAACTCCTCTTCTAAAGCAAACAGTGATTGCTCCACCTGCAGCGCATCCCTCCATGCTCAGCTCCCATGCCTGCCACGGCTGGACTGTGTGAGTGAAGGCTCCGCATTCTCCAGTGTGCACCCCACTGCCTCTGCCTCAGACCACAGACCTAGGGCACTCACTGGTGTATCTGGGTCACACAGATGTTCAACTGGGTCTTTCAGGACACAAATTATGCTTTCTGTAAATACTTAGACCTCCTCTGACTATCACCTGGAGTTCTGCCTCTCAGTTTAACACGTTGACAGCCAACCTGAGCTTTTGTTCATTACCAAAGGATTCCTTTGCCCTCCCCCCCACCCCCACCCCAGTTTCTTGGGGAAGAACCCTTTCTTCTTTTTAAGACAATCTCAGATTTCTGATCAAACCTGCTCAGGTAACTCATGGATGAAAGGGAAAGGAGAAATAGTCCTGAAGCTACTGGCAGCTTCCATTCTTATTCACACCAGTAGCTTATGAAGGGCAAGAGAATAAGAAGATACAATGTCTGAACAGGAAAAAAATGACAGGAAAAATTATGTCAAAAAGGCATTTTTTTTCCTAAGTTACACCGAGTAAATGATACTCCAAATAAACGTGATGAATGTGTTAAATTCAAAGATAAGTCTTTAATGAATGATTAATATAAAAAAAAACCAGAAAATTCTAGTTTTATTCATTTATGTATTAAAAAATTTATGGAATGAGTGTGTGTATGTCTTCAAGGTCAAACCTAAGGATAAATTTATCTCGGTTTTCATTTTCCCAAGTACAAACTTGTCATTTTCCTCTTAGTAGTTTTCCACTAAAAAAAAGGGGGGGGTGGGGAGCAAAATACAATATTTATAGTACAATATAAAACAACAACAACAACAAAAACCCATGGCATCTCCAGTAACAAGCTTAAAATAAGCAGCAAAGTTTTCTTTTAATAAGTATGCTAAGTTCCAGGGTGCCAGCACTCTCTCCTGATCCCTAAAATCATGTGCCTTGTGCAAGTTTGGACTCCATGCTTCCCTCTCCTCCTTAGAACATTTGGATGATATTCCTTACCATTCCCTGTTGTTTGGGACTGAAGAAAGCCCCACTGAAAATACTCAAGTCTGCTTATTCATTAAGGCTTGGCTTCATGAGTAACCTGCCACAGAGACAGGTTGGCTGTGATTCTTTTCTAGTGTCCAAAAAGGTCACTAAACAATTAATTTTCCCATCCAAAAATTTCCATCTACTAATTTAGGGGCTGGGAAAAGTGGTGTGCTCCTAAGCTCTTCAGAGGTAATGCTCCAGAATTTGGTGCCACACCTACCTGAGGGAGAAGTAACAATGGTTCCTGCAAAAGGCTGAGCAATTTTATGGGATGAGGGAGAGCCCATAAATATCCATTTGTCAACATTTCTCTTACACTTCATGATTATTAATATTTAACACCATAACTAATATACTAGTTTTTGTACTATAAAAGTTCCTGCTTCGGCAAATATTTCAACCCTCTCCCCTTAGAAAATATATAAAAAGAATTTTACTACACTGAAGTCTATATGTATAACACTTTTCTGATCTTGACAATGGCCAGCCCCAAATGCTTCAGGTTCAATTATCAACAAGTATATATGGAGCACCTACTACCTGCTACGTATTGTTCTAGGCTCTTGCATAAGGCGAAGATCCCTTCCCCAGTGGATCCCAGCCTCAAACTTTCCTCATAAAGTTTTCAATTCTTAAACATCTTCTATGTACAAATGCTGTTAGGTGCTTTTACACATGCCACAGGTAATATCCTCACACAAACACACTTACCTGATGATTATCGATATTTTTAAAGATTAAAAAAAAAACCGAAGTTCAGAGAAGTCATGTAAGTAGCTTCAATCACAGAGCTGGAAAAAGTCAGAATAGGAATACAGACCTTCAAAACCTCAGATTTCCCATTTAACCACGATGCCCTGAGTTGGCACTGACCCTACAGTCAACACTTGACCTGCTTCCTTGTGTGAGTGTATAGCAACAGCAATAATAGTAGCAGTGATGACTATTCAGTATATAGTAGCCATTGTTCTAATATGTCTCCATGTGTGCCTCTCTGGGTTTGTCCTTGGAGTTTGTTAAAGTTTCTCGAATGTGGAAATTCATGACTTCTATCAACTTTGGTAAGTTGTCAACCATTCTCTTAGCATCCTTCTCTCCTCTTCTTCTAGAACTCTAATTATGCATATATTGGTACACTTGATGGATCTCACAGGTCTTTGAGACCTTGTTCATTTTTCTTCATTCTTTTTTCCTCCTGCTCTTCAAACTGAATAATTTCAACTGACCTGTCTTCAAGTTCACTGATGCAATAACCTCATCTGTTCAAATCTGCTGTTGAACCTCTCTAGTGAATTTTCTATGTTGGCTATTATACTTCTCAACTCCAAAATGTCTACTTGGTTTCTTGTTATAATTTCTAGCTATTCATGGTAGGCTCTGTTATTCAGATGTCATTTTCCTGGTTTCCTGTAATTCTTTGTCTATGGTCTCCTTTTGCTCTTTCAGTATATTTAGGACAGTTAACTTAAGTTTTTGCCTAGTAAACTAGTCTCTGCCAGTTACTAGGCTTCCTCAGGGACAGTTTTGTCAATATTTTTTTTCCTTTGGCTGGACTATACTTTCCTGTTAGAAACAACAATTGCCTATCTACCCAAAGGAATTCTGAGGAAGTAGGAAAGAAAATTGTGTGTGTGTTGTTTTCTTTGTAGGAGAAAAATAGCTGCTGTGGGGATAAATGAGTTAATATATATAAAGCATATAGAACAGTGACTGGCACAACATAAGCACTATCTAAATATTATACTTTAATGCCTGAAAGCATGTGCTGATCGTGCAATACACGCTCTGATCATGTAGGAGTGCTTCAGTAGGAAGAGGAGAAACTGGTGGTCAGGCAAGAAGAAAGGAGTTATGTAATATGAAGGAGCTATGTAAGCCTTTCTTCCTCCCGCCCCATTGATACTCTGTCCTTTACCCCAGTGCCAATCAAATAACGAGGACAAGGTTTTGAGAAGAAGGAAAACAAAGTTTTATTGATTTGCTAGCAAAGAATGCAGTAGACTTGGGTCTCAAGCCTGAGATTCTCTCCACCAGGAGGAACACATGGCTTGGTCTCAAGCCTGAGATTCTCTCCACCAGGAGGAATACCAGGAGGAATACAAAGGCTTGGGATCCAATTATCAGTAGATATAATTACTTGGTGTCCTTGGGAGAGCTTTGAGAGAGTGCTCCAGCTGCCAGGTGTGGAGTCTCTTTATTCTGTGGGCAGTGTATCACTGTGGGTAGTGAAGGACAAGAGAGCTTAGCCTAGGATGGGAGAAACCTTAGTCTTGTTTCCCCCACTGCTAGGGAGGAGGAGAGGGTAAGATAAAGAAAAGTTTGCTTGTTTGTTTTTGTTTTTTAAAAAGTCAGTTTTAAAATAAGCCACCTGTGGTTGAGCAGCAAGGTTTATATTCAAAGCATTAAGTGTTACATTTGCCCACTGTCAATTTTTACCTTCCATTTCTATGAGAAAATAGGTGATGACATCTCCAAGCTTGCTGAAAATGGGTGACAAAAGGGCTCCTTAGACTGGGGGGATTTTACCTGTTATTGTTATTTTTTTGTGAGATTTTACTGGAAGGGATGAACATGTAATATTAACCTTAGAGGGGACCTGGGAGAAGCAGGTCTGTGTACAGCAGTTATGATTTGACTGATTTGTTGTATATACTTATTTTAGTCAGCTTTTTCATCACTGTGACCAAAACATATGACAAGGACAATGTAGAGGAGAAAAAGTTTATTGGGGGCTCACAGTTTCAGAGGTTCAATCCATGATCAGCCGACTCCATAGCTCTGGGCCCAAGATGAAGCGAACATCATGGCAGAAGTGCATGGGGGAAGAAGGCAGCTCAGAACCCCACAACAGGAAGCAGAGAGAGCTCCATTCATCAGTGACAAAATATAAGCCCCAAGGTCACATTCACAGGTCACACCCTTGTAGCTACTACCTGCCTATAGTTACCACCAAGTTAATCCATATCAGTAAATTAAACCACTGATTAAATTAAGGCTTTCAAACCCAATTATTTCACCTCTGAAAAATTCTTGCATTGGCCAACACATGAGCTTTTGGGGGACACATCATATCTAAACCATAACAACACTATTTTTATCTAGTGGGGTATTTTCTGTTACAGACATATTTTCCCCTCTCCCCCTGGGGTACTATGAAGGGTCTGCCATACACTATTATAGGGGCTCAATGTAAGCCCACTTCTGGGGGCTACTGGTATTCAGAAGAGAGCACTTGGCAACACCTTATCCCATCACAAATGATTGTTTTAGCATAACTTACCCATTCTTTTCCTAAAATTGATTAATTTTGTCCATTTTTTCTGTAGATTGGGATCTCCAGGATGCATGTAACTTTGTTGGCTATCCAATGCTTTGCTCACTTGTTGAGTCACTTTTGTAATGAAACATGATTCATTGTCACTCTGCATTGAAGAGGGGAGACTGTATCTTGGGGTCAGCTCCTTTAAGAGGATTTTTACTATCTCCAAAGCTTTTTCTGTTCTGGTAGATAGCCTTAATTTATCCTGAGAAGGTGTTTATCACTACAAGCAAATGTCTGAAGTTTCCCCTGGCATTGGGAATTTGGATAGAATCTATCTGCCAATCATCAGAAGACTGAATTCCTATTGAATAAGACTGAATTCATATTGCGTTCCTTTTACAGCAGGCCTACCTTTTAGTTTATGGATTATTTCTGGTACATAAGACACAGTTCTGAATCACCTGCTGAATTATTTATTGAATGTGAGCCCTTACAAGGACTTGAAATTCACCAGGGCACCTTCTGGCTGCCCTATCAGCATCCCTCCCACAGTGAATACTCTCATGTAGGTGTTTTCCCAAGCACCACATCAGTGCTTCCAGCAGGAGAATGAGCACCTGGGAACTCCGTCTTCACTTGGCAGTGCTATCCCAAGAGTCAAAACTCCATTCTTTGGTCCATTTCTCATCCTCCTCAGTAAAAAGAGGTTTGTTTTAGTCTAATTTAAGCTGAAGTATTAGGGTCCCAATAAACTCTTTGTTCTTTATGCCCCTTCTAACGGCCCTATCAGCAGCCTGATTTTCTTGCCACATAAGTGTCAGTCTTCTGACAGTGCATGATTGTCACCTGCTTTGATTCAGCCATAGCTGGTTTTCATGCCAATCTTCAAGAGCATGTTTAATGTCCTTGTTTTCATCAGCAGTAAAGAGATTCTCTTCTCTCTCTCTCTCTCTCTCTCTCTCTCTCTCTCTCTCTCTCTCTCTTCCTCTCCCTCTCCCTCTGTCTCTCAGAGAGCTCTGTGTCTATGCAATAACATGAAAACATATTTTGAGTTTTCCCTCTGAACAGTCTGAAAGCTCTTGTCAGAGCAGTTATCTTAGTTTTCTGGGCTAATTTTCCCAGCTGCAAAGCCTCAGTTTTTAGTAACTGCTGTTCTGTGACCATAGCTTATCCAATTATCACTGGCCATTGTCCATGAAGCTGTTGCTCCCTTCAGTGAAGAGGTCTCAATCTGGCTCTGTGATAGGCTGATCAAACAAATCTGACCTTCCAGAGTAAATAGTCTCCAAGATCGGTAAGCAGTCATGTTGTATTGGCCCATTATCATCTGCTGGCAACAGGGTTGCAAGAT